ACAGCAATTAAACTCTAATCGAAAACTAATTGACCGTCGGCTAGCACAATCTGCAATTAACTACACTTCATTATTGCTAATAACAGATGCATCTGACGATTTGATTCGGCAATCTAGAGGTTAATGAAACCTTACGACTCAGAAGCTAAGAAATTCACTGTCAAAGTCAAAGTAAAAATATCTTTATTTCATATGTAAGCGAACTACCATTGAAGTTGTAATATTGATTAAACTCTACTCTACTGCTCATTCGTGAGACAGGTTCCCCTGAGAAGTATAAGCAAGAAACTCTAGGAGTTGCTCTTTGTAAATAACATTTGTAGGTGCATATTTGTTATTTACAATACTTATTTCAAACATCTTAGATCCAGACTACCTGTCAGGTCACTACCGTGGATATTTGTCGTCTAAGTACGCAGAAGCTGTATATAAACCTTTAGTATAAACTTTTTGTTTCACTAATTTTAAACCTCGTGAATGGCAAATTTTGAACATCAAACGGAATCTTATTATAGAAGAACATTGTCCGTAAAATGAATTAGTGACATTGTGAAAACGACTGTCAAGAACAACTTGTTTATTTTTATTCTTCACCTATTACCTATTTCTGGTGGCAAGCAGTAATGTGAGCATTACTGTGTTTCGGTTTTCAAGGGTGAAATTACAGGCACATGAGACTTGTCAACCTATGTCTCACGGTGACAGACGTGCAATTTAAAACTCTAAGTGGTACTGCAACTGGTATGGACAGACGTGTCACTTAACACTATAAAAAAAGTCGTACTAACGTTAAGTTCAGTCACTATTTTGCATGAAAAATTTACTATTACAGCCTTCAATTATTCTCTAAAGCGTGAACACTCGGATCACGTAATCTCGAGAAACATGATGCTGTCCATCCTTTCACTTCCAATAGTAATCGTACAAACATTCTAAGTCGAATTGAAATGCACGTGTCCAACAATTGTGAACTGGAACTTGCAAAAAATTTAGCCCAAAATTTTGCAAGAGTTGCGGAATTGGAAAGAAGGGTTGCAAAAAAATCCTTTCTAACCCGTCGGACTCGCATTGAACACGTGCATTTACAATGCGCCGATGAGTCACGAAGCCTCGATACGTAGCGCTTATTATTGGACGAGAAAAAAAAAGATAAGCGTTCACTCGTCCTACCGCGTGAAGGAATTGTACATCTGCCGAAATTTCTCACGGATCGGCCTCGTACGGTATTATTATTCTTGGCCACTTGGTTAGTACCTACCCGCACATTATAGACAGAGCCGGTACTGTAATTATGACAAGTCGCCTAGCGGTATCTGTGGCCACTTTTTAATCGATGGCTATCAATTAGCATATCAGGTTTGAGAGATATCTTTGCGAAAGCACGGGTGTTGAAATGCGATTAACGTGTACTTTTTTCACAGTACGGTACTGAGCGGTACTTGTTAGTCTTTTATTGCGCCTTTTTAAAAATATACATGCTTTGGAACAAAACGACGTTTTTTCCTTTATACAGTTACATGTTGAATGTCAGGAACATTGGCTAAAAACATATAGTGTGCTAACTATATTCTTATATATAAGGCAGGTATTAGTTCGAAATAATTGTTTCCTAATTTTGGTGATATCGTTTTATTTATTTTTGGTACTGGTTGTAGATGAAAATGAAAAGAATGCATGCACTACTCAAGCAATCCGTTTATAAGACAAACTATTGACATATTTCTTGAAAATTGCATGTCTTTCTTGATGGTATGACCTTAATTTAATTTAACTTTATTGCCTTTTAAGCTGAGGATTGTGGGTTCGAATCCGGGCTTCTGAATTTTCCAGAATTTATGTGCGAAATTTGATTTGTTTACATGAAGTTGCTGCTGAAAAGGATGCTGGTGAAATTGCAGGCAGATGGGACTTGTCAACTTATGTCTCAGGGTGTCGGGTGCAGTGGCCCTCAGATCTTTGTGATTTAAAGCTCTGAGTGGCACTGCGACTGTTAGGGACAGGAGTGTCGCTTACCACCAGGCACACGACTTGTTCGTCCCGTTACTTAATATTATTAAAAAATATATTTTCGTTGAAAGAAAACATTGTGATGAAACCTTCACACATCTGCAAAGACATTTAATTATGTGTGTGACGTTTTCAAACCGCATTGGTTCCGCGTGAGAAGGTATATAGGCTAATTATTAGTATTATTACTATAGATTTCTAATGTAATTAACCTTTTCACCACCACCGATAAAAACTAGTTTCGTTCCCTAAACGCCAAGCCTATTAATGATGTGACATGTTATTAATTTCCACCTTATATAAATTCAATTCTCCTAAGTCAAAGACGCACATAACTGACCATGAAATGCAACTTGAATCCGTGCATAACTAGAATATAAGTTATTATTGTGTTAACAAGGAATATCTTATATAATATTATCTTAATATTTATTTATTAAAATAAATTTAAAGTGACGCATTAAGGCGTCATTGGCGTTTATGTAAGACGCTTTAAAGCGTCCACGGCGGTCAAAGGGTTACGATACAGTCTCAACACGTTTAAGCAAAATAGCACGACGGGAACAATTTTAATTTTTTATTATTTGGCAAATGAATTATCATTGCATTCCCAACAATGGAGTTTTCATTTAATAGCAACTTTTACTGTCCTACGATTCGCACGTGCACATTTGAATGCTCAATCTTTATTGTCATTGGCTTTTGTTATTTTGCGCACTACAGCCTTTTGTTAGTTAGCATACTTTTGTTGCACAATATTCTTTTTTTAATTGGTAGCTTCTATAGGCTGCGTATTCGTCTTGTGGTGGTTCTGCGACAGGTTGAAACTTGTCCCGACACGTAGGAGAGGTTTTATTTTGCAAGTCTGAAGAATTTGCAACTGTGTTGCATAAGTATTCATGCAGGAGGTTATGGGAAAACTTTAGTACAGAATTGTGAATGATTTTTTTCTGATGGTTGTTTTTGTTGATTTTGTATAATAGTGTAGTTGTTTTTGTATTTCATGTTTGCATTGTTCTATTGTGCAATTGTATTTTAAATGTTTCGTGGTTTGTTTTAAGTTGTGATAAACATTTTCTTCTTGTGGTTTTGTTAGAGTAATTAATGGTTTTGTTGTTATAGTTTTCTATATTTAGATACGAATGTGTGAATTTTGAGTCAATGGCTTTCATCTAAATTTAAAAAAAATCGTATTTTACGTAGGTTTCAAACAATTCTAGATATCTATCTGCCTCTGTAGCCGAGCGGTTACCATGCTGCAGGTCCCGGGTTCGATTCCTGGGCCGGGAGAAATATTTGTATGGCCTACATTTATTTGTCTCGTGACTTTGGGTGTAATTTGTGTTGTCTATGTTTAGGTGAAATTTTTGTTGTTATTTATTTTTTTATCACCAAAATTGAGACACTATTAATAGCTTAAACCGTATTGAACAGCATATTAAGAAAGTATAAACCTACTAGATGTGCTCATAAGTAGTTGTAAAATACATTAGTGATATTTTGGTATGTAAGAGAGTAAAAGGAAAGCAAATATTGGCTGATATATTCTAAAATAAACATTACTAATGTCAGGTTTTGGCGATTGTTACATATAGGAAATAAAACTTTATTTTCCCATTTAAATCGTGTATATTTATTTTTCCATACAGGCCATGGCCATGGGACTTGTATAGGGACTGAGACGTTGGTTTGTGAATGGGTAATTCTCAGTTAATTTTCTCTACCTAATTTCGGTGGCAATTTAAATATTCTAGAATATTATCATGAAATATTATTTAATATTCGAGGGTAGTACATACCCTGAAATATAATTTAATATTTCACGATAATTTAGTTGCACACTTAAATAATAAAAATTGCCACCAGAATTAGCTGGAGAAGTCTAACCTGAAAATGGCCCAAATGCACGCAATTTATATCCAAAAAGTTACAAGTTAGTTAAATAGTTTCATGATTTCTCTTACGTTTTATAATTTTAGTTTCTATAATATTAATGACGAGTATTATAAACCATAATAGACTATAACTATGTAGGCATAATGCATAAATTGAAATAATTCCCCTTTGCTTCATCATAATTGTAATTTTTTTTATTTTATTTTTATTATTTTTTTATTTTATTTATATTTTATATTGTTGCGAAAGCATGTTGTGTAGTGTTTATTACTAAATGTTTCTTATGAAGAATATCCTAAATAAATATGTATCTACATATTATGCGTATGTAACTGGTAGGTAACAATATACCGATCGAACATTGGCGTCGTTCTAATTACGATGAATTAAACAAAAAAGTTTTTATATTTTCTATCTACTCATGTATTCATTGATGACTATGTTTTACAATTAAATCTGATTAATATTCTCAAATCAGATTGCACAGAAATTAATAGCATCGCCTTTTTAAGTCAGAGAAAAGCGCCGATAAAAAATCGACCATTAAAACCCAGTAGCGCAGCCTCGAGCCCTGCACGTGCGCCGGCGCGGGCGCAGAAATGTTGTTCGCCCGGTATGGACATCGCCCAGCATCCATTATAAGAAGAACTTTGTACAAATACAAATGGAAGCTTTTGTAGGACCTTAGTTTAGCTTAAAAAGCGTACAGTGTGAGCAATGGGTAAATACAGATCTAGTTAGAGTCTTACGCTGTTAAATTGCAATTTTCTTGCTTATTAGTTGTCTATATTGAACAAAACAAGTTATTAGTCCGTGTTCTTTTTATAGTAGTCTGTTATAAGTATAGTGGCTCGCGCCGTCTTGTCGTTAACATCTCAGCACTCGCCTGACCACTTTTTAAGACTCCAGAAGAGACTGCAAGTTTTATTATCATTGAGACTTGATCTCGTCTGAACCCTTGTTAGTATATGATTTGCTGGAATCGGTGCTGTATTTCTGTGTATTATTTATTGTTATGCAGTTTAAGGTAGAGAGAGTAAAAAGTATTTGGTGTCTTATTCTAGGTATTCATAAGGTAAAAATTGCAATGAAAAGAGAAAAATATATTTCAGTCCATGTTTTATTTTTTCAACAACTTTCTTCAACACGAGAAAAAGTTTCTTATAGTTACATAATTTACTAATCCTAACACAAAATTAAAGCTCAACTAAAGGAAGATCACATTAAGCTCACTATACCTAACTTTTAAATTACAATACAATATTTCAAAAATATCACAACGCGATTCGAAAAATCGAAATACAATTAAAGCTTTCATGGAGTTATCAGTTATCACGAGTATTGAGCAAGCCCTAGCTCTAACCTAACACTAATATGGCACCTTAGAATTGTAAACTAAATCTAACATCACAGACGGTTGCAGAAACCAACGGAGCAAGCACTGGTTTCACTGGAAGACACTGATTGTTGTCTAAGTTGGAAGAATTAGGCTTGGATCCAGCGGTCGCAAATGGGGTGCTGCTGCTCCGCGGTTTGGCACTCGGTGTAGCAGTGCGCCGTAGCGAAGTCAACGTCGTGCTTGGAAACGGTGGTCCAAAAGAAGGTGCCGGCGTCTGTGCGAGCGAAGTGTACAGGTACGTAAAAGTCGTCCTTGGAGACGGGAACAAGGTCGCAAGACTCATCTTCGTTGTAGACGAGGAAGGCAGCGCCTGGCTGGCACCCCTCCATCTCAGCGTAGATTTTGCGCTCAAGGGACTCGTTGCTGGAATTCTGCTCGTCTTCGTAGCACGTGTCATAAGTTTTGGCGGGAACGCGCTTGGTTGTCTTCTTGATGATCTTCATCAAAGGTCTCAGCAAGGCTTTTAGGCCACTGCTCTTTATCTTCTCACTGTTGTATTTGTTCTCGTTCATCGAGTTGTTTGTGGCGATGATATATTCGTTATTAGCGTAGTAAGACATTTTGGAAATGTGTAAAGAATTGAAGTAGAGAGCGTGTGTCGCTAGTGAGATCACAGGCGGGAATGTGGGGCTGACTGGGCTGGCCGGCCTTTTATATCCGCCGGGCCGCCCCCGACATAAAGGCTGTGTACGTGAAAAAGCTCCCTTTTGAATGTGTGGGTGCGTCAAGTGGATCATTCGATACCCTAATATCTTTTTCATACGTGATGGCGCTTTATCTTATTAACATCATAGGTAGTTGATTATTTAGCTTTGATAAAAAGCTTTTTAATGATAATTTTTAATGTTAATACGATTTTGGTCATTGTTACGATTTTCTTTAAAGTATTCAATTTAATTCCCTTGTAAGGCATATTATATAGTAATTCTAGGACATTGCAAAGTAGCTTGCATTACATCAATCATGAGGCTTGTTTTTTAACTTTGCAACGTCTCCCTGTCATTAAGACTTTTTTTCTTACGATTGGTCAAGCTTTTCTACAAATATATAAATATAAGTCGCACGTGGCTACAAGTGTTTCACTATTCTCATTTGCATAGTACTTATCAAAACCTATCCCTTTATTGATATTACAAACACTTGATGATAATTATATTATAGTTAAAGGTTTTCATGGGAAAAGTGTCCACGTGCCGTCCACACGCGGAGCATGCCACATGTTATTCAGTAGCCCCTAGTGTCTAACAATGCGATTGTTATCGCTCCGTGGCGGGCATGGGGTCACTAAGTCATGAATTGGGGTTATTTGAGGTGCATCACGACCCCTTTGACTTCTGGGGAGCGCACGCGCAACTCGCGTGCTACACACTTGTTTATGACTCTTATTTCGTCGTGTAACGTTTTCGTCGCTGTAGTGATTCCATGTTGGCATCACATCGATAAATGATAATAGTATACGATTTATGAATGCTACGTCTAAGATTTGGTATTTGAATAATTCATTAACACTTTGTTTACAAAAAAGAATTACTAAATATAAAATGCCACCTACACACAAAGTATTCACTCGAACCGGTCGAAACATGTAGGATTTTTTCTTCGTAAGTTCGAAGAGATTTACAAAAAAAATAAATTTAAAAGAAATCTGTGTAGCGGTGATAGTGGTTGCTCGGCCAATAGGGTGCGCGCGCGGCGGCAGGTGCTGCGATCTGCGCCCGCGCACACACTTACGAGCACGTTAAAATATACGGTCTTTGAACACGTGCATTCGAAGGGGAACAAAATACGAATCATACTGCGAAACGAGTGAGAGGCACGATATTTTTTATCGACATGCATAGATTCACGACTCCCTCATATCCGAAATAGGGTAACGCAAAGGCTAATTTGGTTATTGAAAATTGAGGGGTTGTTCGTGGGAATGCTCTCCGTTCCTGGGTTCCCAGGGTTGCGCGCACATTGAGCTTTTTTTCGGCGATACGATTCGGAATGACGACAGATGGCAAGCGGGCGAACGTTCCCGTTCTGCTTTGTTATAATAAATCGTATGGGATACTGGAATTAAACATTCCATTTTGATGGCTTACCGCTCTCGAGGGGTGTGCGGGGATGAAGATGTAAACAAGTGTAAAAGGGGTCAGTGGAACTCCCCGAGCCTGTAATTAAATGTCTATTAGAGCTATTTTAGGATTATTAGGAGAGATTGTTAGGGGTTGAAATTTCATTTTTTTGATAATTGTGGCGTTCAAAGGGTTAGATGAAACGGTTTTAGGAGTAGCTACGAGACTGTGAATTAGGAGATATTAGAATTATTAGTTGGAATGACTTGTAATGGTGACTCAATGGACTCTATAGCGATTAGGAAAATTGTAAAATGTATTACGGGTAATGACGTCGTTGGCGACGACAGATTCGATTTTTATATGCGTTTCTTTTACCTGTCACTGTGCAATCTAATAAATAATTTTTCTTGTTCAGGACGACATCCGACATCTCGACGCAGTTCGACATTCCCACGGCTGGAAGATGCAAAAACCTTCGCCAACAATAGATCGTGAATAGAATAGTGGCCAAACACTTTACGTCATCTTTAAAAAGCGAAACCTACTTGGGCTTTGTGCTTCTCTGGCGTGACAAGTGCGTGGGAGAACTGTAGTGATTTACTTACAAGGGTGACAAGGGGTGCACCCTACACCCCTCTACGCATAATATATTGTTCGTGAATTCACTTGCTGGCAAACGCCTTTCGTAGGGGAGCGAGGGGTCAAATTGAATATGGTTTTTTGTGACACTTGCTGTATTGTCCTGATTGTACTCAAGTGTATCAAATAACCTTTTGTTAGGGAAAAGTTTCGGTGCATTTAAAATTAATTGCCATATAATTGCAGATGTCACAGAAAATACATATATACATATACATACACAGTACAGATACATTTATTTGTTTATATCTAAATTTATGTGTAAAGTTATTTTTGTGAAACTGTCATTGAGATTATTTTTTGTAACTAAGTTAAACATTTTGTAACACATCAAAAGTGTCTATGGATCAAGCACGTTTTAGCGAATTACTGAAAATTAGGCTTTTTTAATGATTTTTTTTAACATTAATGGATTTTTTTGGTCAATTTCATTTTCAATTTGAAATTATAAAATTGATCAAAAAATCTTTCGGTTTAAAAAACAAATAACAAAAAGCCTGATTTTCCGTAATTAGCAAAAACGTGTTTGATCCCTAAGACACTTTCATATTTTATTATACACATTAAAAGTGGAAAAAAACTTATTTTTTTTAAATATATAACAGTTATTATATATACTTAGTCAATCGTCATTTGACGTAAAGAAATATATGATTTTGAAAAACTAAATGTTTTGTACTTTAAAACTATTTTCGGATGTAAATGGCGTATAAGTATTTGTTTTTTCAAACCAATCAACCTTTCTGGTTCTGGTCTGGCTGACAGGTCCCATGCTCACGGCTGAAATGGTGAAGTCATCAACCAGTTAGGTCCAATATTAATGAAATTATGAATTTTTGAAAAAAACGAAAATAAGCGCTTTAGATCCGAAAAAATAGTTTCATTTCCTATGTGTAACAATCATAAAAACCTGAGAACTCTAAATATATAATTTTGTTTATAATTTCTTTTTTCGTGAAATCTCACTCTGTTCTATTTAAAACGTAATCTCAATTCGTTTTGGTTTAATATATCATTTCGAAACTGTCATTTTTAATTTCCACCTATCAACACAAAAACCGGACAACCTTTTTGATTCGTGGGAAAATTCAGTTACAAATAAGATCAGCCTTCAAATCGGGGGTGGAAAATAAAAAGTCATATATAAATCACCCCTAATAGTGGCTTTTGTTGCTTTTACACTTGTTGCGTCACCCACGCTCTATGAGATTTTTTACCAAGTTAGTTTTGCCTCTACTTCCCCATTACGTTCTATAAAATGATGCTAAAAACATTATGAACAGAGATGATCATTATATTTTGATGATTGTATACGTAACTTCGGATTTTCAATGGTAAGGGTGGTTATAGGGGTTGTTGAACAATTAACCGAATCTCAGGTAAACTCACATCAAATTGAGGTGGGTGGATGATTTTGCATTTATAAGGTTTGAGTTATGATTGGACTATGAATATCTGAAGGGTTTTAATACTTTTTGTGACGTTTTATTATTATTTATTCCCTTTGACGTGAAATGAGATTATATGGGTTTGCTTTTATTCCGTTTAAACTTTGTTTATTAAAGTTATAAACAAATGGGTACAGTCAAGAGCATGATAAATTTTGGACAACTAGAGCGTTTGAGCACTACGTCCGATTCGAATACCGAATCCGAAAAATGACGCTCCGAAATGACACAGGTGTCCGAAGTGTCATTTTATCTCTAGGTGTATAAGCGATATTCGTATTTTCTAGGATACAAATCGGACTTAGTGCACATGCGACATCAGGTCAATTACTGCCAAATAAGCAATACTTGCCCAAATGAAAAGACGCGTGATGCGAATGAAGCTTCATACTAGATACTTGTCTTTTAATTTTGTCGAATATTACTTATTTGACAGTAATTGTTTCGGACGGATGTCAGACGGAGATCGAGAGTCCCCTGAAGTGGGTCCGAATTTTCTAGATTTGTATAGTATTTGGAGCGAATACGAATCGGATGCAGTGCGCGAACGCGCTTAGGCTTTGAACAGATCTTATCGCAAGGAGATAGAGTTGAATATCAATAAATGATTAACACTAATTACAGGTTTCTTACCACGGTTTGAGTTCTTGTTTTCTTCTATATTTCGGAACGGTTACACGCTGCATGGTCACGGGTTGACTGAGTGAGGTTTGATTGAGTGAACCCGTGACGATGGAGCGTGTACCTTTCCGAAATATGGGGAAAACAAAAAGATCTCAACCGTGGTAAGAAATCTGTAATTAATGACAATCATTTGGTGAATAACCACGAAAGCCTCTACATTGCATATCAATAAAGCTATAAAATTAGTGAGATAGAGTCAAACGTGATCAAGGGACTTGTAAAGAATAATAATAAATAAAGCATGCTGTTGTTCTCCCAGCCGATCCCATACTAGAATAACGTATAGATAGGTATCAATTATTAAAAACAATAGGCTGGAATAACTTGCCAGCAAAGTATGAATGAGGATTGATGATAGAAATTTATAGTATGAGGCATGATAGTACGAGAAGAATAAATGATAGAACTGGAATAAAAGAGAAATTATATTATACAAGGTTATGAAAGGTTGGTTTAGTTGGTAAAGAGTTTGAAAAGCTTTGGAATAAATGAATTATTCGCTGATCTATTATATTACTGACATATTTATAGACGTAGTACAGCAAGTAATCTACCTTAATACGCCCCTGACGACACTTGGTTAAAAAGTAACGCCCCTAGTCTACTATCATGGAAGGTAGTATCTAGTAACAGTTATAAAGTAACTGTTCGCTTAGAACTAGATATACCTGGTTATCTAGTCAAGTTCTAATTAGATAGATTGATCCAGGAAGTAAGGTGACTGTGACTTTCAGATTCTAGATTAAATCTGGTTATTTTCGCTTCCTAATGAACGCAACCCAACAT